CTGCTTTCATAGTCCGCCGGCCGGCGGACTATGAAAGCAGCCAATGTTACCTACATTCTCAAAGTTATTACAACTACTTTTTCCTGAAAAAATAAATGACTTTATAGCATGCGGCCTCGGAGACCAAAGCTACACAGTGCAACAGCTCGTGACGGCATGTGCAGGAAAAACGATCATAACACCATACGAGGGTTCATTCATTGTTATTAAGTCCACTGAAGTCACTGAGGCCCAAATGAACGCATTTTGCGCCAATGTCGTTTACATGCAAGCATGTATCCAGATCGTCGATTCTTCATTCACTAGCCTACGGTGCCCTTACCTACAAAAGTTGGTGCCTTGTCAACCTGGTACGCTTCTATGCTACTCGCATGTGTAAACTGAATAGAAATAATTCAGTTTTTATAAAGTTTTTACTAGCTCTATTAGCGATGCAAGGGAAAACAGAACATGATCAATTGTGTCCAAGGGTGGTATGACTGTGATCATCCTATTTCATATTTCAGGAGAAATGAGAAATAGTATGACAAGGAATGCTCCTGAAACCAGAGGATGATTTCCGGTCTCAGGAGCATTCTTTGCACAATAATTTATGAATATATTTTTGCAGGGAGACCAGCAATTGAAATCATCAACAATCCTTATTTGACGATAGTGGAAATCCCTACAACAGTTGTTATCCCGGTTAACGAAAATGTCATTATCATCGACAGGAACGCACAGCTTTCGCCTGTGATTGTCCAGCAGCTGCAACAAGTCTGTCCTATGTGCCAAATTCAGAACGATTATTCAAGTATGTTTTTTCAATATAGATGGAATTGAGTCATATCCTTTTGAACGACATATTCGAATTTCAGCTTGTAGCGAGTTAGATGCCATTGAGGACACTGTAACATTCGTCGAAAAATGTGCAGGACAACCAATAATCACCTTCAAATATGGAGTGGAGCAGCCACTGATTCTGACAGAAGAGCAAATCACAAGATTGTTCGTAAATGCTGTTGAAGTTCAGATGTGCCTCATTGTCAGAATGTCTCCCATACGGCAGCTGGTATTCCCGAAATTGATGCAATGGACGTCTTGTGCACCAGGTAGCTGATTTTATTTTCCATGATGTGATGGCAGTACTTTGAAGTGTACTGTACGAGATTTACGTACCTTTTCATGTTTCTCGATAACTCGCTCATAGATGCCTTCTTCTACGGTTGATAGTCGCGCAAAAAAATCCGAACAAAAAACGGTGCAAAATGTCTCAGAACGGTCTGCCAGCCATTTGCTGTGACGTGCGGAGTTTTGTTGCAGTTAAAGAAGAACGATAGCTTGCGTGACAGAGCAGAAATCTCATTTTGAGGTGGCAAAGAACGAGGCAGAAATGGGGCCTCGTGAGAGCTTTTGGTGGAATAAAGTATGTGTAGGAACTGTATAAATTCCCGCTTTTCCCACTGTTTCGTAATTATGTTAGAGGCACAGTTCACGATAATTTTGGGTAATCCAGATTATGATGAAAAATGGAAGACATGGTCGAAAATAGTGCGATGAAGATCAAAAACTGCGTGAATCGGTGTTTTCAAAGTGAAAAGAGCCTTCGAAAAACCGTTGAAAAGGGGGCTGGACGAGAATGAGACCAGAAAAAAGAATAAGAGTGGGGCGTCTGGACGAGCTATACAATGTGTCTCACTGCGCACGTGTGGATCCTGGTGCGAATAGCAGACTATGGTAAGCTAAAATTCATTCACTTGTACGCATAAGTAAACAGACAAACTCTAGTAACAGCAAAATTTGCTCACCTTTTTCAGCCTCTAGGAGTAGGAAATTAAATAAGGAATCGCGGGAGCAAAACGAAAAACAGAGGAAAAAAGAATGGGAGAAAAACATCGCCTCATCACTCGGCGACCAGCTGATTGTGCGTGGGTCCTAGAACGAATAATAGCAATCTGTATGGCATCGACACTCGTCTAACGTGACATCAATCGAGGGGCGTTAAAGCCAGTTACGACAGCAACAATGCTTTCACTATGCCCTAAGCGCCGAGTTTGTGGAAGCGAGAGGGTCCATTCTACCACCTGTGGGGGCACTGAGTATTCCTGAAGGAACAACTCAGTAAACTTCTTTATCGTGAACCGTGCCTTTAAATTCTAATTTCTAATGTTCCGCTTATGTAGAATTTATCATAAATCTAATTCTAATTTTAATATAATTGGACAAATTTCCCTACACGGTGCTTTTGAAGAAGTCAGCTTGGATGCAGCTACTCGCATTTCAGGAAAAAATGCCTTGGTTGTTGCCTACAATCCCCAGTTGGAAGTACTAAGCTTCCCTGCTTGTAACAACCAGGAGTGTATAGAAAGCATCGTCGTAGAAGGCAATCCCTATCTCCCGACCGAACAAATCAATGTCATTCAAAGCTTCTGCCTGACCTGCCACTTGGAATACGGTGCACCAGGTCCGTTACTGGAAGTTCTCTTTGTCATTATCATCTTAAAAAGATGATCTCTTTTTTAGTTCAAAAAGAATTAGCTCTAAACACTGATTTGCAGCCTGTGGCCTTGGAAATCAGGAAATCTCCGCTCAACAGCTTGTCAATGCTTGCGCAGGACAACAAATGATCGTTCCGGCAGCGAACTCCCCTGGCATCATCATTTACTCGAAAGATGTCACCGAATATGAACTGAATAGATTCTGCTACAATGCAATTTACATGCAAGCGTGTATTGTAGTAGAAAAATCCACCTTCACCAGTCTTCAATGTCCTTACCTCGAGGAGATTGTGCCATGCCAGCCAGGTGGTCTTTCATTTCGTTCCTATGAGTACTTGATTATTCAACCACCCACGTTTAGGACGAGCAGTATTCGAAATGATTGAAAATGTCGATTTGGTGACTTTTTCGATACCCTCGACGGTGGTTTTCCCCGAAAGAGAACAAGTAATAATAGTGACTGGAAATCCTTTACTACCACAAAGTACCATCACTAAATTGAAAAAGATCTGTCCGTACTGCGATATCCAGGGTGACTACTCGAGTGAGTGCAGCTAAGGCAACACTTTTCTTTTATGGAAGAACTATTCTAAAGTAACTATGTTGCAGACTGCCGTATGATAGAAACATTCGGGAGTGTGGAAGAACTGGTCGAAAAATGTGCTGGACAACCAGTCATCATTGGGGAACCGGGATTCACATTGCAATACAATCTCACAGAGCAACTACTTACAAGACTGTTCTCTGAAGCTGTAGAGGTTCAAATGTGCCTTGTAGTCAGAGCAACTTTGATCACAAACCTGGTATTTCCGAAACTGACTACATGGAGATCATGTGCACCAAGTAAGCATAACTAGAGTAACTCTAAATTACAGAGATTACAGAGAAGCCTCGTATTTCAGACAGACCGGCGATTGTTGTGGTAAACAACCCTCTTCTGGAAAAACTACAATTTCCCATGTGCACCAACCAAGAATGCATCAGCGGTATTGTGATTGAAGGGAACCCATTGCTCTCTGTATCGCAACTCAAGCAGGTCCAGTCGTGGAGTATCAGCTACAACCTAGAACCTTACGTACCAGGTTCCTCTCTAAAATAGCGGTGCTCATCTAAGCGTTGTAATGGAATAAGGGCGCAATTTTTTCAGCTTGCGGACTCGGCAATGGTCCTTTCTCTGTTCAACAATTTGTGCAGGCGTGTGCTGGACAGCAGATTATAATGCAGCCAGAAGGTTTTGAAGTAACCATAACATCGACGGAAGTGACCGAAGAACAAATGAATAGTTTCTGCTCTCAAGCTATCTTCATAGAAGCCTGCATCGTTATATCAAATTCACCATACCAGAGTCTACGCTGCCCCTACCTTCAGGAAGTGCGGCCTTGCAAACTTGGTAAGCCTTTTGATGTTATACAAAAAATACGAAGATTATGACTGTGTGTAATGGTGAGCATCAGCATTGCTCTCCAACTTCCCTCTTGCTTCGGCATTTCATTTACTCTTTCGATAGTTCTGCTCTCTGGAATGTCGTTTATTTATTTGTTTATACGGCTTGTCTTCATTCATGTGCGAGCAAGAGCAACAAACCGTTCGCATCTATCTTTTGCGATCGCCATCCACAATAGACTCAGAATTCGACGAAGCTGTCGACGTAAAGAGTCGTTCAACTGCATTCGCAGCTGTTTAATACGATCGACAAGCACATAATCCCATCTCGCAGCAGGTCTACCCTTACATCGTGGGAATCCTATGGTAGCCCACCCAACTGTTCCTCTTGTCCATCTGTCATTATCTCTTCTCATGATATGAACGGCCCACCGAAGTTTGAGGTTTTTCAAGTATTCCACGGGTATTCGCTTGAGTGCTCTGTGACTTATGCTCAAAGCCTTCACCGTTGATGCACTTGTCACCCAAGTTTTCAACCCGGCATAATTGTGGAATGGAACAGATTAGAGCGAAGTTCCGGATCAGCCAGATGGTTGGTGACTCTTTTCAAAGGTCCGAGGGCGGCCCTTTCTGCCGTATCACCAGTTCTTCCTTGATGTCCTTTTCCATATTCATGGAACGTCCGAGATAAACGTAATGCGGGGCCTCCTCTATAGGTGTACTCTTGACCTTATTTTGACCATCGTCAACCTAAACCTTTTTCACAACTGTGTGTTATTTTTTTCAAGCATAGTCTCAGCTTCCTCGAAAGCCCTGAGCTTCCTTGAAAAATAACAATACGTCCACAAATCGGAGATTTAAGAGGAATTCTCCGTCCACATGAATGCCCTTTTCGTCCCAGTTTGGCGAATTCGTAAATCACTACAGCGTGGCTGTGAACAGCTTCGAGAAATAGTGTCACCTCGCCTCACACCCTTCCTTATGGCAATGCCTAGAGGTCGTTGGAATAGCTTCACTGTCGCGCTGCAACGGTTAATTCAGTGAGCTAGTGTTCTTACGTAGGGAGGGTCCACTCATTGATCCACTTGACTAGTGCTGACAGGACCGCATTCGTTTCGACGCTGTCAGAAGCTTTTTCATAGTCAACAGAGGTGAGGACAAGAGGCACTCGGCGCTTCGATGACAAGTGCGACCGCTTGGATGTGAACTGCGCAACTAAATCCCTTCCGGAATTAGGCCTGCTCTACAAGTTGAGCTTCATCCAACGTTCGCGAAATGCGGGTTAGAATGATTTTCATAAGCGGCTTGTAAAACATACTCAACACGCTTGATGGGTGGTAGTTGCAATAATCATCCCGGTCTTCCTTTTTGTGAAGAATAGCCATCCACGGGTTCTTCCATTGGGTGGAGATCTTCTCCTTCTGGAGTAGGATGTCATGTGTGTTGCTAGAAGCGCATAAAGTTTGTAGCCACCTGCACGGACCACGTTGGCTGAGATTCTATCGGGACCTGGAGTAGTGCCCCTTTTCATGCTCGCAATCGCAACTCTCATCTGCCAAGGGAGGGTTTGGGGTGCTGTTTCGCCCGCGGATTCTTGGTTTTCGCACGTGTATCGTGTATCGGTACAGGTTGGTGAAACCTCTCGTGAACTTCCTCCTTCTCAAAACTCGATGTTGTAAGTGCTCCGTTCTCCTTTCAAATGCGAAGGTATACGAGGGGCCTGGAGTAGATGTCGTTGCTACGTGGAATTTGTCATCTTCTCTGGAATTCCAAACCTGCCTTCAATTTAAAACCAGGACCCTACTCCATTAAACGCTCGATCAACCCTAAATTTTCGATTGCGTGTTTTGCACTCAACGCTTTTTTCATGGCTGAAATTCTTACTTATATGTATATGTAACATATATAAATATAAAGTAAAAATAAAATAATAATGCGTTGTTACGCATGAAAAGTCTTGCAATATACACAGAAACGAAAATCCAGTCCGGCACTCGGCTATTATAGTAATCCTGCACGTGTTAACACGCAAATTTTCACCCGTCACATATACGACGCGTCGAAAAAAGGTCTTGGGCAAGGACATGGGTATGGGAGGTGGGTAAGGGGTCCAGGAGGTCACTGCAAGAGCCGAGTGCCGGACCGAATCCCCGTCTCCGCGCAATACTCACAGAGCCGTCAATGCAATAGTGATCAGTTCTGCCCCCGTACATGTCATTCTGCTAAGTAGGCGATCCCTTCGAGCTCTCTATGTGTTGGACTGTATGTGAATAGACGTGTATTTCAGAGATAAACAATGTGTTTTGTAGGACAGCCAGCCATCACAATAGTGAATAACGCACGATTGCAAGTTCTGGAATTCCCTGAATTGGTGAAATTCGAGGAGGTTGAGTCAATGATAGTTGTGAAGAACAATCCACTGATTCCTCCCAGTGAAATAGCTTTCCTCAGAAATCTTTGCCCACTTTGTGATATCCAGCATAACAATTCCAGTAAGTTTATTAACGAATTTGAAAAGTTCTACGAAAAAAGAGAGATTCTTGCTGATCTAGTTGTGTAACTAATAACAAGCGGAAGAATAGAAGTCAAGATTTTCCAAAATTGTTCTGGTAATACCAATATGCTTCAAAAATCTTTTAGCTTGCAAGGAAATGACAGTCATGGGATCTGTAGAAGAACTCGTAGAGATATGCCAAGGAGCACCAGTAATCACTACCGCCGGAGGTCTCGTTATCCATGAACAATTCACGGAACCACAAATAGTCAAGCTGTTTTCTGGTGCCCGTGAAGTTAAAATGTGCGCCATTGTAAACAGCACTTCAATCGAAAACCTTTCATTTCCCCATGTTGTGCGATGGACATCCTGTAAGAGCGGTAGGTTTTTATGCTGGACATTAAAGACCTGACAGATTGAACAGAATTTTTTCCTTGAAAAATTAATATTTTCAGGCCTTCCGGCTCTTACTATAACGAATAACATGAAATTGAAGAATATCAAGTTTCCCTCTTGTAAACAGATGGGTTGCATCGAAAGTGGCGTGATCAGCGGCAATTCACTCCTTCCCAGAAATGTGAAAAACGTTCTCAGACGGTATTGCAGCAACTGTGCCTTCGGAGAGCAAGGCTTCAACAAATTCAGTAGCTGGAGCTCTGGTAAAGATTCTTAGGTTTTCTTAGTTCCCTATATAGAAAGGGGAGGGAAGTGGTAGGTAATGTTCTGGGTACTTTCTCCCGAAAGTTGCACCAAACTCGCTCACCCACAGACTAATGGCATGATTCATCGTCAATGAACATGCTAGGTCTGACTTAGTAAAGAAAGCCCTTAAGATAAAGTGGTGGCGGAACAGCCCGTGCAAGATGTACCTACTCCTCTGTCCAGGTTCAGGTTCTTTGCTTCCTTGTAGGCTTGCTTTTAAAAGAGTTTGGCATCGACGATTTGACAATGATAGCATAGTTAAGTAATTATATCAGGAGTCTAGGTTGATTTGGAGATTAGTGCTGCACTACTTACCACTAATACCCATTGTCGTCGAATTAAAAGCATAAGCACTCGTCCGAAATCCTGCACTGTAGGACTGTTACGAGGGGAGCGGGGGTGCCATTATCAAACCAGTTCCCATGTAGTTCAAAACATGCCATTTTGAATTCTAGCCGTGTTTTCGGAAACATACGTGAACGCGTTGGCGCTCTCTCATAGGAATTTTAAATGCTTTGAAAAATTATTGAAATAAGTCGACGGTCAGGTTCCTATTTCAGTTGCACATTCTTTTTTAGCATTTGGAAAGATTTAGTAACAAAAATGTAATAATTCTCATTTCAAAAGTCTTGTTTCAGGACAATACCAAAACTTCCAGGGCTGAGTGAGGGAAATCTGAATCTTCGACAGTCGACATTACTTCAAGGTTCCAAAACAGTTGTTTGCTTTACGATATAAAATTGTAAATAAAGCAATCACTCAGTGTTCAGAAAAGACATCACATCGAATTCGCAAGGAAATTTGTATTGAATGTAGGGTGACGGTTTAGTCATTTACATCTGTATCACCTTTCCTTAAAGGCACAGCTCACGATAATTTTGGGTAGTCCAGATTATGATGAAAACTAGACGACAAGATCGAAAATAGTGCGATGAAGGTGGAGAAACTGCGTGAACAGGTGTTTTCAAAGTGGAAAAAGGCTTCGAAAAACCGTTAAAAAGGGGGCTGGACGAGAATGAGTTCAGAAAAATGAAGGAGAGTGTGGCGTTCAGACGACCTATACAATGTGTCTCATTGCGTACGTGTGGGTCTTGGTGCGAATAACAGACTATGGTAAGCAGAAATTCATCCACTAAAAAGCATAAGTAATCAAAAAAAAAAACCCCTAGTAGAGCAAAAGTGGCACACCTTTTTCAGGCTCTAGGAGTAGGAAATTATATTAGGGATCGCGGCAGCAAAAAGAATAACAGAAGAAAAAAGAATGAAAAAAAAGTACAAAAAAGAAAACAGAAAAACGCCGCNGTCCTAGAACAAATAGTTGCAATCCGTATTGTCTCGACACTCGTCTGACGTGATCACGTGACATCGATCGAGAGGCGGGAAAGCCATTGACGTCTCCGCCCACTGGATTATCGTGAACTGTGCCTTTAAGTGCACAGAATCGTCGTCTCATTCCCACTTGAAAGTGTTGTAAAATCCCACGGTACGCTACACTTCGCGGTGGAAAAGAGGTCCTGAAAAGGGTCCGTCGAGAAGTCGACCAGAATAAAAATTTCTACCTACCAACCTCGAGGCAGAAGCAAAATTAACAATTTCAAGAACAACAAAAATGTCGAGTGTCGAGGACTCGGAATTTCATTTGGCAGAATTCAAGAATTTGATCCGTAGATCATAGATCTAGTATCGACGTGCCCTTTTCCTAGTCCATTTTCGTCGCTGGCTTACCAGGCTCATCAGCTACTACACCAATATTTTCGTGAAACTCTACTCATCTCCTTCTTTCGATCGCATCTATTTTTGTGTATCTTTTAATCATTCTCTTTTTTGTACATCCTCTACAACAGAAGGGAGAAATACAGTTCTGACAGAATTATCTGAGTTGGAAAATTGTAATAGTGAATTGTACCGGTTTGGTTCTGATAGCTGCTCTAACAGTCACTATATCAGTGAGGTAACGGTGCTTTACATCTGGCAGTGGGCCAGTAATTAGCCACATAATGGATCATTCGTTTCCCATATTTTTGAAAGGTTTCAGAATCCATGACTGCTCCAATAGACTCCTTCAATCGGGGTCCTGCAGCAAGATCCTCAGAACTTATCTATATTTAATTGTTCGTGAAAATAGGTTTGGAAAGAGGAGGCCTACCTGTCGTTTTTAACACTATGCGCCAGAGAGTGATAGTGTGCCAGCCCATTATCACATACATTTTGAAAAAATTAGAGGAGGGGTCTCTTCCCCCTTTCTACATTTTCACCCATTATTTATTTCACTGAGTCAGGAGTTCCCTCGAGGTCGCATACCTATGCGAGGGTTGTCGTGCACGCAGGAAGTGCATCTTCGCAACGACGGATTTTGCAGTGACACTTGACCCTACCTTTTGTTGTTGCTACAGCCGCAGGTTCGATGTTAATGTTGGGCTTCAACCTTCAGCAAACCGAAATTTTTAGTTAGTTGAGGGTTCAGAGTAGTATGTTGACAGGACAACAGAAGAGGTCGACCTGATATTGTTGAATAGTACATTACGGAGTACCTCCATCATCAAGTCAGCGACAGATCAAGTCATAGAAAGCACCAACCAAAACATTCCACTCAATATGAATGAATCTTACTCGATTTCATCTCAGTTCACTCTGATTTCAATGGCTGCTTTCATAGTTCACCAGCCGGCAAGCGTGCCGACCGAGGTAGTGCTGGGAGGGGAGAGGGAGGCAGACGACACCTTTCGACGCGGTCACGTCGCGCCCAAGCCCCTTCGAAGGGCTAAAAACAAAGAAAAACAAGATCAAATCAATCTGTCTTTGCCCTTCAAAGAGGCTTGCGCGCGACGTGACCTCGTCGAAAGGTCCCGTCTGCCTCCCTCCCCCCTCCTAGCACTACCTCGGCCGGCTCGCCGGCACGCCAGCTCGCAGGCCGGCCGGCGGACTATGAAAGCAGCCATTCTGTCCTGCTTGCTAAACGTATCCTCCCAGTGCCTTGTTCAGGTTCATTTAGCATCGACTCATGAATATGAAGTAATTCCAGTTCAGAGCACCGACTTGAACATTATGAGTCAAGTGAGACGACACCAGTACTAAACGTTCCGGAGACCAATCGATACACAGTGTTGGTTTTCAACTTTAACTTTTTTAGGTTCTAAACTGGTTGATTATTTTTTCCTCCAGACTTCGCTAGCATTTCCTTGCACACGTTGAACGCGAATTTGACATCATTTTCGGTGGTCAGTTGACTGCATACGGCAAGACGAAGGAAAAACATGCCATGCACCTGAACAATCTAATTCGCGACAAAAGTTTCACGTATAGGAGCAGTAGTTAGGTAAGCAATATATGTCACTATTTCAACTATAATGGAAGAGATTGTATCGACGCTGATTACTACTCTGAAGTATTATAATTTGTCGGTTAGACCTCAACCTATGGCGTAGGGGTCAACACATTCCATTGCCACCTGCCCGCTGGAACTAAGATTTCGAACACTGTGTCGAGATCTGTTATATTCCTTAAGTGGAGATCCTGTGACCCATTTTCTGCGTGCTGATAGTAGTGACATATGTCGTCTCTAACCCTTGTTCTTACATATGTATATTACACTATTCGGTACCCCTGGCTTCTGCTAATAAGGAGGATCTTTTCTGTAGCAGGATCGGAAAAGATGACTAGCGTGGGCGTTCTCTTCCAATGAATACTCTATTATCAGCATATCAATTTATTTCTTCTCAACGAAAAAAGACGCCTCTTCCTTCAGACGCTCTCTACCCTCCTTGATCAATCCTAACCATTTTTTCACTATCACTCACTCATCTACTACACCTTTAGAACACACATGATTCACCTATTTGCTGAGTGAATCGCGATGTTAAAGCCAATGTAGCCATGATTGTAATGGCTCGTGGCTTCCAGGAGCTAAAAGTCTTGTGTATCCCACGAGATGGCACTTACTCCGGCTTACTCCGTGATTTGTAGGTCTATTTGTGCCGATACTCTTCAACCTTCAACACTCAAGGGTCTCACAAGGGAAGGATACCAAGTTGCAGTGGCCATTTAAAGGCACCTATCACAAAAAAGTTAGGGTACCCTTTTCTGACGGGAATTGATAGAACTACTCTAGAATAAAGCGATAACAACGAAAAAAGCTCAAAAAACGATGAACAAAAAGAATTAAAAAGGGCCAAAAAA